TCCACGTGGTGGCATAATCAGCAAAGGCGTTAAGGCATCGTTGAAGTTTGTTCGTTATTTCGCGAGGCATCCTTCCTTTGACGGCTATTGCGGTATCATCTGCGAACAGGAAAAACACGCAACCGTCTCCAAGGGGAGGAATGTCGGAAGTGTAAATGCTGTAAAGCAAGGGGCCCAGCAGACTGCCTTGCGGGACTCCTGCTGGGATGGAAAACGTGTCGGAAAGACAACCATTCAACGATACCTTAAACGACCTTTGCTGGAGGTAGTTACGGGTGATTTTAATAAGATGTAAAGGAAAGTTGAAGTTACAAAGCTTGTACACAAGTCCATCATGCCAAACATTGTCAAACGCCTTTTCAACGTCTAACAAGGCCATGGCTGTGGACTTGGATACAGCTTTGTTACTTCGGATGTTATTCATCACCCGTACTAGCTGGTGATTGGTGGAGTGCCCCTTTCTGAACCCAAACTGTTCCGGAAGGAGAATGTTATTTTCCTCGACAAACTTGAGCAAACGATTGAGAATGAGTTTTTCGAACAATTTGCTCAGCGCTGAAAGGAGGCTGATTGGTCTGTAGCTTGAAGACAATGTTGGATCCTTACCGGGTTTGCGGATTGGTATGATTTTTGCTACTTTCCAGATGCTTGGAAAGTAGTGCAGTTCCAAACATCTGTTGAAGATAGCGGTTAGAAGAGACTGCACTTTCATGCTGAGTCTCTTCAAGATCAAGTTGAATATACCGTCAAACCCGGGAGCCTTCATGTTCTTGGTGCATTTCAGCGCTGAGCAAATTTGTTGTACTGTAATCATATCCGCCGGTGGCACGACACAAGGGGAGGCATCAAGGTTGTGTACGCATTGCACAACCTGATCATCGAGCGGACTTTGGATATTCGAGCCAAGCAAATGCGATGAAGCGACATGCTCGCCGATCGCATTTGCTTTCTCCTGTGGGGTAATTAAAAGCCGATCGTCATCATTTTCGACTTTGAGAGGTGGAACGGGTTTGGGATGATTTTTCAGGACCTTGGCTACCTTCCAGAATGGTCTGGAGCGGTCGTCCAGATTCTGGACAACACGCCCGAAACTTTCATTTCGGAGTGAGTCCATTCTGGAAGCAATCTGCCTGTTCAGATCGGCCATTTCACGTTTTTTGCCCAGGTCTCCAGTCCTCTGAAACTGGCGTCTACGCACATTTCTCAATCGAATCAATAATTGGGTGTGGGAATCAATAGCAACAAACTTACCCCTCACAGGAACTTGTCGAACGCATGTCTCGTCAGCCTCGGATATGGCCTGTTGGAGTCCTTCCAACGCCCGGTCGATGTCATCTACGGTGTCGAGCAGTGGATTTTCATCGATGTTGCTGTCCACCATTCGACCGTACTGCACCCAGTTGACATGGTGGTAGTCTTTACGCAGGCAGCCTCTAGCAGGAACCACGTTGACACCGACTTCAGTCACCACCGGTTGGTGGTCGGAGCTGAGATCGTTGTGCGCCTCCGGCTTGGATAGTCCGATGTTTGACAGGAAAAAGTCTAGCGTGGAGGGATTTCCCGCTGGAGAGATGAAAGTTGGTTCGTCCGGAAATTGCACTGTGTACAGTCCATGTTGTGCGTGGTCGAACAATAGACATCCGTTTCGATTCCTCTGGTAGTTCCGCCAAGCTTCATGGCGGGCGTTCAGGTCGCCCCCAACGATGAATCGGGAGCTAGTACGGGTGATGGCGGTCAGGTCCTTCTTGAATTGGATTCCTAATCCGTTGCTTGCGGTACACTGGCGTGGGCAGTAAACAGCGATGAACCGGACGTTTCCAGTTGGTGATTCCACCTCCACACTAATGGCCTCGATGATAGAAGTGCGGATGTGGGGCAGAGTGCAAAACTTGATTCCCTTTCTGACGATGACCGCTACACCACCCCCCCTGGAGCTGGTGCGATCAAGCCGGATAATGTTGTGGTCAGGCAACCAGAAGCTGTCACCGAACTTTAGGTGGGTTTCGGTTAGAAGACCCACGTCGATGCTTTGCTTGCGGAGGAAGTCGGCAAGCTCAATCTGTTTAGCTCTTACAGAGCAAGCGTTCCAGGTAGCGATGGTTAGCGGTTTAGACACCATATTGGATGATGAACTTACCGAGCACTTGGATCTGTTCGGGCTTATTGCGGCACTTACGTAGAGCACCAGTCATGTTGATAAAAATCTCCATCAGTTCGTCTGCTGAGAACAGATCGGGATTGTTTGTTTGAGCTGTTGGTTGCCTCCAGAATCCAGGGGGGGATGGAGAGCTTTGTCCAGCAGAAGATCCAGACGTTTCTTGAGGGGGCGCGGATCGCACCCTGGGATTCGCTTGTCCACGAAGAGGTGGAAAGTCCTCTGTCCTGAAAGCCAGGGCCTTATCCTTCCTTCGTGCTGGTTGATTGTTGGTGGACGCTTGATTTCGGATGCGCTTGAAATCCTCGCGTTTAGGGCACTGCTTGTTGGATCCTTGGTGAGCACCACCACAGTTGGCGCATTTGGACGCCACAGCTTCATCCGCAGCACATTCGGAGGTGGCATGGTCTTGAGCGCAATTTCCGCAGCGTGGCTTAATGTTGCAGTTGCGGGTACCGTGTCCGAAGTTCAGACACCGCTGGCACTGAGTCACATCGCGATGGCCGCCACGGTATGGCTCCCAGCGAACGATGATGGAATTGATGGACCGGATGGCTTTCAGTGCGTTGAGCGTCACCGTTCCCTTCTGGAAGTGTACCAGGAAAAGGCTATCCGGATACGCCTTCGCATTCTCGTCTCTTCTTGTCATTCGATACACGGCACTTGGGGCCAGCTTGTACCGGTCCCTGATTTCTGATTCGATAAACTTCGGGTCGAAGTTTGGTAGGCCCCTGATGACGACCTTGAACGGCTTCTCACCGGGAATGTCGTGGGTAAAGAATTCCACCTTGGAAGTCCTCAGGTGGGCGACGACCACGTCAAACTCCGTTTTGGTACGGAGCATCACTTTAGTGCCGACTCTGCCCAACTTGTATTCGGCTTTAACACCCAGCGTCGCTAGATCCGCAATGAGCACATTAAGATGGGCATTTTTCACTACCAATGGAGGTAGCTTCACTTTTGCCGAGCTCATTTCGGCAGTATTCACGGTTTCGGCAGCGTCACCGAAATCTCCAACATCGCTGTTGACTTCAACGAGCTTAGGTACTTCATATTTATACCTGCTAACCTATCAAAATTCTCTAACCAATGAGATTTTGTTTACATACGAACTATCACGCTTCACGCTCACTCATTATTTATTCAACACTAACTCTATCTACTACAATAACCACTATTTACACTATTTACAATTTACAGTGAAATAAAAGACGTCTGATCTTGAGGAATGCTTGGAAACGAATGAAAGTTTTATTTGACTAACAAACTAACAGTGGTTACTACGAACTCGCGGATTACTTAGATTAAGATCACCAGAAGGTCCCGAAGAAACGAGCTCAACTTTTTGGCTCAGCTCTGGTACCATAGAGGTAACTCTAAGACTAGAAGGTCCCGAAATAACGTGCTCAACTTTTTGGCTCAGCTCTGGTACTCTCTTCGGTCCCAAGCTAATCGATTCACCCCTCGAAACATAGGAAAAACCAATAACCCCCTAGGGGGAGTACAACTTGATATGAAGTAATATCAACAATCAATACGAAACTAACGATTTTAAATTGGCTCACCACTTTAGTAGCCTATTGGTCCCAAGCAAACGATTAACGTACCCTATTCTAGTCGAAATTCTAGTACTACGCAATGTTTGTTTTGATTCGCTATGAAAGTTTGACAGATAAAATGAGGGGTTATTGGTTTTTCCTATGTTTCGAGGGGTGATTCGACAAGCTTGGGACCGAAGATAGTACCAGAGGTGAGCCAAAAAGTTGAGCACGTTTCTTCGGGACCTACTTGTCTTAGAGTTACCTCTATGGTAATATTTGGTGTAGAAATTGCTCATATTGGTAGTTATTATACTTTTTAGTATAAATATTAATGATATTAACTGTCAAGTGGAAAGCTACAAAGTAAAAAAAAATAACAGTGTAGCTTTAACGCATACACTCAATGACGTTTCACCGTTGTTGTTTATGTTACCTGCAGCTTTCTGTTTCATCATTTTTGCCTAGATTTTTGTTTTCGATAGCTTTGATCGTTTTCGCCTTCGGCTTTTTTGGTGATAAAAACGGCACTCGACTAGGCATGTTCCCCCAGCAGCAAATCTCTCCAAATTGCAGGCTCATGGCGAATGTATTACGACCACGGAACCATCACTATGGGACTCCGTTTACAGGGGCACCGTAGTCAGTCGATTCCCGTTCCATCGGAGGACTGAACATTGGATTGCAGGCAATGAAGAACTCGTGAAAATTAATGATTATTTCCTGGGAACGGAAGTGCCCCAGATTATGTGCACTAAGATCAGCTACCAAAGAATGCCAAATTTATCAGAACAAGGAGTGGATTTTGGTGGCCCTGGCCAGCAAGATCATCAAGGAATGACTTGACTCTCGTGTGAAATCCATTTTTTGATTAAACGAATGTCAAATGTACACTTTAAACCAAAAATAGCCAAACAAAAAAAAACATCTGTCAGACTAGGTGTAAGATTCGCAAATATCACACATATTAAAATATTTAATATTTTCACCATCGGTATTGATGCTGATGCTTGGAGCTGTCCTTCCCCTAGATAACCCCTCATTTTATCTGTCAAACTTTCATAGCGAATCAAAACAAACATTGCGTAGTACTAGAATTTCAACTAGAATAGGGTACGTTAATCGTTTGCTTGGGACCAATAGGCTACTAAAGTGGTGAGCCAATTTAAAATCGTTAGTTTCGTATTGATGTAGATTATAACCAAAATTGCTAAAATTTTGCACAGTTGTAGAGGACATTAATACGTATCGAAAAAGGAGCATGGGATTGTGATGCACCATATAAACTCGGCCCACCCTAATACACATCCCCGTGCAAATCACATGGAGAGTCACCTCACACGACGTGACTTTTGCTATCTCACTAGCGACAGAGAGTAACACGACTCGTAGAATAATGGGGGGAAATTAAAAATTCCGCTATTTTGTGCAATACCTACCATTTTAGCAATCACTAATTCAAGCGTAACTATTCAAATCGACGTATCTGATTTTGTAAACAACTAGCTCACTCACAGAAACTAACAACACCAGATAGCTTGGGAAAGATTCTCCTACCTGATGATGGTGTTTGTTTGCGTGGTTGAGGTAGCAGTTAAGACAAATCGTCGATTGAAGTGATTGTTTACAAAAGCAGATACGTCGATTTGAATAGTTACGCTTGAATTGATTAATTTTATTCTACTTTTGATTAAAAAAAACTCGATTATTTGTATGTTTTAGGCGGCGTTTTGGAGCATCCGTCAGGCACTCATGTTGGCCAGTATCCATCCCAGATAGCTGCCAACCCGAGCGTACACCCCGGGGAAATCAACCGTTCCACAAGTCTGGACGCCGTAGGACACCACTCCAAATAACACGTATCGCGGTCGGTTCAGATAGCTTTCCTGCCACATTAATGGTCCACCGGAATCTCCAGCACAGGTATCGACCAAATTTTCCGAACCGGCACAAATTTGCTTCGTAGTTATTGTGATGTTGTACTCTTTCCTGTAGGGATCGAACCTCTTCTGGCACTGCTCCCGATCCACTCGAGGCAGTTTAGCCTTCAGCAGAACGTCCGGTTTGTCAAGTGACTCAGTAAATCCCCAACCCGCGACGTAGTACTGCGCCAGAAGAGTATCCTTCAGTTCCGCAGTCATCGGAAGGCAAATCGGTCTTATGTGAGCTGGAAACGATAAGATACGCGTTAGGTACGCAATCCTAGTTAATATGCTTCGGTAAATACGTTTAAAGATAATCCTCTCCGCTAGACGAATCAATCCGATGTCATCGCCCGCAAAAGCTTTGTGATAATCGGGGTGAATGACGTACGATTCGTAGCGTACATCTTCTACGGGTCCGGCGCAGTCCTGTTCGGAGATGCCATTCGAATCAGTATAGTTGATACAGTCTTGTTCTGAGCTGATAGTGTGCTCTCCCAGTCTTACATATTCTCTGTGAAGCAATCAAATACTGATGTGTTTAGATTACATCATACCAGTTGTTTCACTTGGTGTATGTGTTAACGTACAATTTAGCAGCACTTCGCCCTCTCGATTTTCCCGCTAGACAGTGTGCCGCCGTAATGACGTATCGATCACTGATCAATGCACCACCACAATCGCCCGTAATTTCGTCGCTGCCATCTGTCCTGTACATCAGCAGAGCCATCCAGGGAAACTCGAACACGGCCGTCTCGTTGCCATTGGCAATCCGCTCGGATGAGGCAAGGCCGCAGTTTTCCGGAAGTTCGAAAATCTTTTCCGGCACACAGCAAACTCCAGCCGTCGACGCGTTAAACTCGCACCTGGCATTGTTGATGTACTGTTCCACCGAGCTTGGAATTGATCGAGATAGTTGCTTGATGGAGTACAAATTGGAACACTGCTTCAACGGAACGCACTTTCCGGCGCCATTTTTCGGAGTTGTACATGGAATTTCTTGATCAAACTGTTATTAAGACCTCAAAACTTCCAAATAAGTTAACGGATCTTACCTGCTCCAGTCGTAATTAGCAGAATTATAGAAGTTAGAAAAATGATCCTATGCATTTTACTCGCTACTAGCTTATTCCACACGCAAGCTCTCGCAATAAATGCCTCCAGGAGAATGACTCGTAGAGATCCCATGCATTGAGCTGCTAGTGGAATAAATTGCACTAATCGAGATCACTGTTCGCGTCATTTTGCAATCTTGTCCTCGGTTGCAGTCTTAATGATAATTACAAGAAATTTTAGCTGTCTGTCGTATAGTCTGGTGTACTCACCTATTGTTGACGAGTTTGCTCAATCGCTGCGGTTTTCTGCAGAAAGATGTCCGATGATCATATTTTAATCAGGAAAATTCCATGCGAGATACATTTTAAACTTGTTTAAGACGATCTGTTCGCTTACAGGTTTACAGTATAGGTAAGTAACCGAAAGTGAGAGCGATCAAAGCATCTGCAATTTAGATACCTACGGTAGCGAGTCATTGTAAGAAGCTTCGGCAATCGCATTACATCGACTAAATGGAATATCAACTTCATGAAGAGCGCGTTTATTCACTGTGGGGGAATCCCAAGCATCGCTAAGCAGACTTAAGATGACTCAGTTTTGACTTCCAGCGGGGTTGGTTGGCAGGCACTAGAGTCGGTGCTCGCCATAGATTTATTAATAGCTATTTTATCCGAGATGTACGCAGTTCGTCAAGTGCTGCTAATTTGTAAACCGTCGATTCAACAGAACTATTCAATCAATTGAGCTCCACGGCAAATGAAGAATCGGAAAAAAACTCAACCTTCTTCGATTTGTATAAAATTTTGCATAATTGTGTGTTATAGGCAATAATTCACATTTTTGCAGCAATTGTAAATTGTTGTAATTTTTCTTCCGAGTTAACTTCTACAAAGAGACAAAAGGAGCCTCAATGGGAAATCCCCTATCCTGTATGAAAATTTTCATGGCTATTGTTAACGCAAACCCTAGCAATTAATTTTCCTTAGTATATAAGACCTATATTTATCTCACTCGATCACTTGCGATCAATACCAAGAATGTACCCTTCCTTATCATTAGCCTTCGGATAACGAGAGAAGAGAATTTTGAATAGGCCTTTTGCTCTCTTATCAAGCCACTGAACTCGCATATATTACTATACACGAACCAGCATTTGATCAGTCGAAAATAAACCTACAAAACGTACACGTCGATCAAACTATCTTGCGATAATTAGAGGAGAGTAATAAATAGAAGTGAAGTTAAAATAAAGTGATCCCTCTTTACACGCAAAACTTCCGCCGCGAATTTTTAGTGCCTAATCCGAACGTCTCGTAAGTGCCCGCGCCAACATTTTTGGTCCTTCGAACCGGATCAACCGTGAGAAATTTAATAAATCGCGGTGATTAATTGCCATTGCGGGTTACTGTTCGGTACTACAAAGTACGAACCATAGTGCAATTATTGAAGCAATACCGTTCCCGCGTGAGTTTTCGATCACAGTGCTACTGTATAGAGCCTGTGGATCAACGCGGGTCGAAGTTAAAGGAACAATAAGTGCGCGGAAGATCACGTAATTAAACGTGATCTCGGAAGAATTTTGTGAACATTGGGAGTTTGGCGGTCTACGAGGGAGAAGGCTCCAGGCAAGCAGACGGACATCTCGTGGGGACGCTATCGTGGCTTGACTTGGGTCCTTTGTGCACCACTGGACAATAGTACAAAGAGGGGACGTTGAACTGACGTCGTCCTGGATAAAGCGGAGCAACCTTGAGGTTGCATAGTGTGCTCTGGTGGTTCAGGTTGGTCACCTGTGTCGTATTGTTGTACGAAATATTGTTCGCTGGTTGAAGAATGGCTTCAAATTTGAGGCAGTTAAGCCGCCAAGAACGCTTTCATTTGGATACGATGGCCAACTTGAAGCAGTTTATGGATCGTTTTGATGCGGATAGAGATAAGAACCAACTGGAGGGATGGAAGCAACGAATGGAGACGGTTTACAGGGAGTTCCAGTTGAATCGTCTTAAACTCGAACTACTGTTCGATGAAACAAAGGCGACAAACGCGGACGAAACCATTTCTGATGAGGAAACGGAGAATAACAATCGTCTCATTCGCCAAAAATTCGAACACGACTATATCCTCACATCTAGTTTCTTAACTAGCAAAATTCGTGAGTTGAATGCAGCTCCACAGCCAAATGCTCAAGCTCTGGCTGTCGTTAATGCGCCAAATCTACCCCAGTCCCGAATCAAACTCCCTGAAGTGAAGCTTCCAACTTTTGATGGATCAATTTCGGAATGGATCACATTCAGGGATACATACAAATCCCTAATTGATTCAAACACTCAATTATCGCAGATAGATAAGTTTTCTTACCTGGTTGCATCATTAACCAAGGATGCCAAAAAGGTTATTGAATCGATTGAACTGACCGACGCAAACTACGCCGTTGCGTGGCAGTTGTTGGAGGAGCGGTTCGATAACAAAAAGTTAGTTGTTAAAACTTACATAGATTCACTTTTCACAATTGAACCGATGAAAAGGGAATGTTACGAGTCCCTTATGTGTTTGATCGACGATTTTGAGCGCAATTTGTGCCTAATAAACAAAATGGGCATCCAAACGGATGGTTGGAGTGTGCTTCTATCCCACATGGTCTGTAGTCGTCTTGATTCGTTCACCTTAAGGCAATGGGAAGCTCATCATAAATCCACTGAGGTCCCACAGTATCGGGAGCTCATCGATTTCCTGCGTACGCATTTAATGGTTCTCCAATGGTTCATACCGTCCGTTGAAATCAGCGAAGGTCAATACAGTCCACACCATTACTAATTCGAAGCCTGGTTCCTGTCCGTTCTGTTCGAAGTCTCCACACTCACCATTCAAGTGCGACGTGTTCCAGAAGCTGGCCGTTTCCCAACGCTTTGACCAAGTGAAGAAAAAGAACCTTTGCATAAATTGTTTGTCCTCCTCTCATTTTTTGAAAGGATGTTCGTCCAGCGGTTGCAGAGTTTGCAACCAGAAGCACCATACTATGCTACACCAACCTCCTAGCGATCGTTTGTCCTTACAACAAAAACCCAATACACCTTTCGTTTCTGGTTCGAATTCATCATTCTCGAACCAAACGAATTCCTCGAATCAGTCTTCCTCGCAATCTCGGTTGAATTCATCGATTGAAACGCAGTCACCATCAACCTCTGCCCAAACAACTAGCCTCGTTTCCACCACTCTCGTTGGTAGCAGTCGAACCGTTCCTGCTACTATTCTGCTGCAAACCGCAATCGTCAAGGTTTTCGGTTCCGATGGAGACGCCCAATGGGCCAGAGCGTTGTTGGATCCTGCATCGCAACTTTGCATAATCACGGAGAATATGGTTCAAAGGCTGAAGTTACGTCGCTATCCTAATCGTCAAGAAATTGGAGGCATTGGTAACACTCTCGTGGTATCGTATCACGCTGTTGATGTTGGGATAGGGTCCCATTGCACCAAATATACTGTCGAAGAACCTTGTCACATACTGAAGAAGATCACCCGTGAGCTTCCTGCCAACGCGGTCGATTCTTCCTGCTGGAACGTTCCATCCGGAATCACACTAGCAGATCCCAACTTCCATGAACCGGGACCCATAGATCTTCTGCTGGGCATGGAACTGTATTTCGAACTACTCCTAGAAGGATTCATCAAGCTGGGTCCTGAAAAGCCGGTTCTGCAAAATACCGTTTTTGGCTGGGTAGCATCCGGTAAGGTAGGGCTTTATCATTCCCGTAACCAACTCAAAGTGGCTCACGTGTGCAGCACAGAGCCACTCGATGATCAAATCGCTCGCTTTTAGGAAATAGAGCACTGCTGGTCTCCTAGCACTCGTTCTCCAGAAGAAACTTTCTGTGAAGAACACTTCGTTGCCAACACTTTTCGAGACGAATTGGGTAGATTCGTAGTCACCCTACCGAAACGAGTCGATGTACTGTCTCAACTCGGAAATTCGAAGGAAATAGCCACTCGCAGATTCCTTGCTCTTGAACGTCGTCTTGAAGCGAACCCAAAACTGAAGGAGGCGTACGCTGCATTTATTGCTGAGTATTTGCAGCTCAACCACATGCGAGAAATTGACGACACGTTCAACACTCTTCCGTCTTACTACCTGCCTCATCATGGCGTCGAGAAAGCTGATAGCACAACCACTAAATTAAGGGTAGTGTTCGATGCCTCTTGTCGGACGGACAGCGGAGTATCGCTCAATCAGGCGCTGATGGTAGGTCCTATGTTACAGGATGACATACACGAGATATCGCTTCGCTTCCGGATGCACCAGTTTGCCATCGTTGCCGATTGCGAAAAAATGTACCGGCAACTTCGTCTTCACCCTGTTGACTGTCCACTGCATCGCATCCGCTGGCGTTTCTCTTCCTCGGAACCGCTGAAAACCTTCGAGCTTACCACCGTCACCTATGGCACTGCCTCGGCGCCATATTTGGCTACTAGGTGTCTTCTGGAGCTGTCTAAGCAAGGAGCTGATCTGTATCCTCATGCAGCGCTAGTCCTCTCGAAGGATTTTTATATGGACGATATGCTGACTGGGGTCGACGATGAAGAAGAAGGAAAAGAACTGTGCACACAGTTACGAAATCTGCTGCAATCTGCCGGGCTTAACTTACGCAAATGGGCGTCCAACTCGACGGCCATCCTTTCGATCATACCACCCGAACTACGTGAAGAACGAGCAGTCCTAGCGTTGGATTCACCATCTACTATCAAAACCCTTGGACTGATATGGGAACCATCAACAGATCTGCTTCACTATTCCGTTCCCAAGTGGTCTCAAACGGATACAATCACCAGGCGCTCTGTACTATCAGATACAGCAAAACTTTTCGATCCGCTTGGGCTGATTGGACCAGTGATAGTTCTAGCAAAAATCTTTGTTCAATCTCTTTGGCGAACGTCTGCATCCTGGGATGATCATCTCGACGAAAATCAACAGCAGCACTGGCTTTCCTTTCGTTGCAGTCTAAATGCACTTTCTTCAATCTCCGTACCTCGGTGGGTAGCACTCGCTACTACACCAGTCAACATAGAACTCCATGGGTTTTGCGATGCGTCGG